TTCAGTCTGAAATCGATCAAACATGCAATCAAGATGTATTGCTCATTACTGGTGATTGGAATGCAAATATATATATATATGCATTTCACATATTGTGCAAGTATTACATTCGATTATTTCTTAAAATGAAACCAATTTCAAAGAAATTTTGATTTTTGCATCTGTTTTCAGCCTTGCTTTTACACTGAACACAAACTTTACTTTCTACAATGAGTGCTTCTCACCAACAAACTTGATCAAAAGAGAAATGCCATTTTTGTCAGAAATGTTAAATACTATGTTAAGTACACTTGACCTTTCATTTGAGATTTACTGGTAGTGCAACTTATTTTTTGACCCCTGCCTGAAGAAAAGGACCTTTTCTCAATAGTGTGTAGAGACTTTGGTGGTGTGTCAGCTTTTGAATGAGACCAAGGTTTCTCAATAGTGAAACTCTGGACATTCAGACTGGATAATTCTTTCCCGAGGGTGAGGGTCAAGGGGTGGGAGGACTTTTCTGTGCATACGTGGGTGTTCAGCAGCATCTCCAGTCTCCCTAGGTGTGAGCTGTAGTACTCTTACCCACACCTCCTGTTGTGACGCCCAACAAGGTTTCCACACCTTATGTTATACTAAGGTTTTGTGGTTTTGTTAACAAGTCAGTTCAACTCATAGCCACTCTGTATAGGATTTCCAAGGAGCAGCTGGTGGGTTTGAACCATTGACCTTGCGGCTCAGAGTTTATCCTACAGCGTCACACCAGGACTCTTATAAGGTAAGGGGGACAGATTTGTCTCTGGTTGAAACCACTGAATTAGAGGGTCAGATTGTGACTCTTCCACTGATCAGGTGTGAGACCTTGTTCAAAATTACTTAATCTAAGCATCATTAGGCTCCATTCGAATACAGGGATAAACAATATTATTTATTGCACAGTACTGGGGTGAGCTTTCAGTAGAATCGTGCATGGAAAGTCTTTAGTAAATGACAAATGTTCAAATAAATGTTAACCACACCAATTACTTGTATTAATCAATGGGCTCAAGTGTGGCAACAATAGTGATGTTGGCCCAGGATTGGGCAGTGTTTCGTTCTGTTGTGCATAATAAGGTCACTATGAGTCGGTACTGACTCGATGGCACCTAACAACAACAACATTACTTGCATTACCTCTACATAGTGTTCTAAGGAGCCCAGGTAGCATAGTGGATTCCAAGCTTAGTTAATAACCGCAAGCTCAGTAGTTCGAATATGCCTCTTGCTCCACAGTAGAAGGATGAGCCTTCCTGATCCCATGAAGATTTACAACGTCAGAAACCCTACACAGGGTCCCTATGAGTCAGAACCGACTTGGTGGTAAACCACCTCCACCACAGTGTTCTGGTGAAAGAACTCCGCTGGCGAGAAACATCCATAGTGGTCTGAGTATTGCTGGGACCCATCAAAGTTAAATAATAAAAAGTGACATCTCAGAGGTGTTCCTCTGCTTGGTTGAGAGTATTAACAAGACTACGGGCAAACAGGACACCTCAGTGTAAGTTTCACAGTCATTATGAAGGGGATCTAGCTCCCATCCAATCTCAAACACTCATTCCTATCAGAGCCAGGCTGACTATCTCCAATCCAGGCACATGGCAGAGGTGGGAGGCAGCTGCCAGTAGAGTCAGCTGTCAGGCATATTACCAAAATCCATCCAATATAAGCTCAGCCGCCGACACCATCTGCTGCCCAAATGTGAAGGAGGACACTTGAATCTTGTGCTGTTTGGAGATGAATGGGCCACGACAAATGGCATGAAAGTGGAGTGCTCTGCTAATCACCCATCTTCCTAGGAAACCACCAACAAGGCCAACTGGGTCTCTCCTTCAGAGCCAAAGCCACCCTGAGCTCTCCAGCTGTAGCTCACTAGTCCTGTCTGTGTATTTCTTTCTCAAATGCCTTCTCTCTGCTTTATAAATCATATGCCTAAGGCTCAAGTGTACTTGAAACCCAGTTATCATATCTCGTCAAGATGCTATTGGAAGTAAAATATGAATTATTCCATGTCCCAGAAAAACAAGAAAAGATACTCCTTCAACTTGGTAAGACACCTTCTACTTTAAGAAGCATCTCAATTTCACAGATATTCAAATACAAAAAAGTAGTCATGAAATCAAGGAAGTACAATCATAGTTCAGCCAATGATCATGAATGGAAATAATGTTAATAAATGTGTTTAAGACTGGTTGGACTTGAAATCATCTAAAGAAGATTTCTTAGACTACCTTTATTTTTTCCCCCTGAATATGAAAGTAATAGATATATACTATGGAAAATTAGGAAAATCTACGAAGATTAGAAAGAAAATTAAATTATTTGAAATTCCACCATTCTTAGTATGCCAAAATACTTCCCAATCAGTCTTTGTGTGTGCAAGTTCCACAGAGTTGGGATCATGCTGTGGTTCCAGCTTTGTGTGTTGTTTTTTGCCATCTGATACTATATCATGAACGTTCTCAAATATTTTCATATAACTACCAAAAATGAAGATAATTCTAAAAATGTTTCTCTAAACCCCACACCACAGACAAATCCTCAAGTGGTTCCTGTCTGTGGACCTGGGCACACTGCTTAATATTCTAATGCTTCGGTTGATTTTTTTTCCCCCCATTTATAAAATAGAGTAAATACCCACGCTATAAAACATTGTGAAGATTAAATGAGGTAATGCACTTGCATTGTTTTGCGAAAGCTTGCTACACAGTGAATACTCAAAAAATCGCAAAGAAAATGTATGGTCTGCTGCATTAAAAATCTAAAAGCATGTAAGAAACAACCAGATAGGGCCAATATCCCTTAATACCCTGTGTTGAAAAATGCATGTCATGCAAAGACATCAGGTTAAAAAGGTGAGTTTGTTTTAATAGCAACAAACACGCCTGCAAGCACTCTTATCCTGAAAAGTAAAGCAATACAACAGTACTTGCATAATTTTTTAATAGTACTTGCATAGTTATTTAATAGTGAGACTGTCACTGAAAATCAAGTTTACAAGTTTCTTGTTGTTTTTAAGTGCCATCTCCCTGCATAGGGTTTCTAAGCAGAGAGTCATGGGTTTGAACTGCCAATCTTGTGGTTCGCAAGCCAATGCTTGTCTTGTAGTGCCACACCAGGACTTATAAGACGGTCATTGCAAGCCATTTTTATCCTAAGAACTTACTTTAGATGCTCTTCTTCCTTACAGCCTATCTTTCACCAAAGGAACTGGCTTGGAGAAAGCCACATAAACATTAAAAATATTAACTCAATAACTCAGAAACTCACAGTGATTACCGACCTGGTAAAGTAGCGGTTGCCTTCTGGCTGGGTTTCTTTCCACATCGAATTCTGTATTCATTTATTGCATTTTCAATCTCTTGAAGCTTTTTCACTGCCTCTGTGTAGTCTTGTTTTCGCTTTTTCTTCACCGTTTTACAAAGGTCTGGCTCATCAGCAAGTTTCTTGGCAGCTTCAACTAGCTTTTGCTGTATTATGAAGTTGCTCTCCAATTCGTGCAAAGCAGGATCCTGAATACATATTATCAATTATGCGTTGTAAACTTTGTGAACATATCTAGGCATTGCTCAAATGTATTACCTAATAAAATGCAATTCCTAGTTTATTCTTGAGTCAGATGCTTTCTGAGGAATCTTTAGACACAGTTTCCTAGCAGATAAAACCTCCCGCTCTGTCATCTCACCTGAACTATCCATTAGTCCAAGCCTCTTCTCCTTTTAAGGAAGGGGATGGTCATTTAGCAGTTGGCTGAATCAGATCATTTCATCTTTTTCATGAAGAGGCTGTTAACCCAAGACTCATGGATACAGAATGCTATATTCATATGCAAAACATTACCGAAACCAACCCACTCTCATTGAGTGGATTCCAAACACAGCATCCCTGTATAGGGTTTCTAGGAGTCCTGGTGTGGCACTGTGGGTTATGCGCCAGACTGCAAAGCCGTTTGAACTGCAAGGTCGGTGGTTCAAGCTCACCAGCTGCTCCTCGGAAACCCTATACAGGGTTGTTACAGGTTGGAACCAACTCAACAGCACTTAACAATAACAAAAACATAGGGTTTCCCAGACTGTAAATCTTTATAGGGACACTGTTTCATCTTTCTCCTGTGAAGCAACTGGTAGGTTTGAACAGCCAATCTTGCAGCCTAACACCTAACCCCCTGTTCCACTACAACTCCTATTGGAGACAGATACATATGAGCTTGATTTATCTTTCAAGTAGCTCCTGTCTGAGTCTACCTGGGATTACCGATCCATTTTTAACATCTCAGATTTTTTTTTCCCATTTATAAAATAGAGGTAATAGCCATGTTAAATAGTGTTGTGAAGATTAAATGAGATGATGCATTTGCCCAGCTTTGCTAGACCTCAATCCATAGTGAACACACAAAATAATAGCAAAGCTCAGTTTGTTCCTGAAGGAAACAGCTATTGTGTTCTGAAGCCCAGACTGTGACATGTTCTAAAAGAACACTGGGAAGGGTCATATAGTTTAATGACATAAAAATGAAAAATATCGACTAGCAAATCTCACAGTATGAAAGTTTGTGCTGTACACGTATTATCTCACTTAACACTCAATGGATTACTCAGGGGAAGTCCAGTCCTTGGCCCCATTTTACAGGTGAGGAGACAGATCTAGGAAATGAGGCTGTAGGGAAGGGAATGTATCTGTCATGGGCAATTATGTTCAGAGGAAGAGTTCAGTGCTGGAATTCTCACAATAGAGTTTGTCAACATAAAGACTCAGCAATTATTTCATGTTCTCCATGTTTGAGGACATAAATTGATGGGTGCATGAAAGAAAGATCACTTTGGTCTAAGCTATCTATTTCAACTGGTAAGATTAAAATCCACAGTTGTTGTTATGTGCCGTGGAGTCGGTTCCAACTCATAGCGACCCTGCACAGGGTTTCCGAGGTTGTAAATCTTTACGGGAGCAGAAAGCCTCATCTTTCGCCCACAAAACAGCTGGTAGTTTCAAACTGCTGACCTTAAGGTTTGCAGCCTGATTCGTAACCACTATGCTACCAGAACTCCTTAAAATCCATAGTAGTGACTCAAAAACCATAGGAACAATTCAGCCCCACTCAACCAACAGAACTCGGGCGCATACCTCTTCACTCGGCAGTAGGTTGTCATCTAATTTGAACGTTGTGCCCACGCGTCTTCTGACCTGCGGAGGCTTTTCACCTACGTTCAGCGGATACTCCTTTGGCATTTTGCCTGTGAGCTCCTGTAACACAGGGCAGAATTGAGAAGGGATAATTGTCACTGGTCTGAAGTGTCCGACATTATCTGAAGAACCTGAAGATACTCACAGCTTCACGCAAACAGATTTTCTTAAGCTCCTCGACTTTTTTCAAGAGTTTCTCTTGTAACAGCTTTTCTTTCCTCTTGAGTTCAAGGATTTTCTCTCTCTTTTGCTCCTCACTCACTTCTGAGTCTTGAGAACCTGGGGTTGGGGGAAGGAGAGAGCAGGGAAGGTTTAAACAAGGCACATTTCCTTCCTTTTTAAAGGACAAAGGATTTTTAAGCCAAACTTGCTATTAAATGGTAGTCTCCTTCTTCTCTCCTTGTTTCTGAACATAATCAGAGGAAGTTAGTTGGAGAACAGTTTCTCATAGTTCTGGGCATCAAACAGGGCCTGGCAATGAAATGTGCCTTTTGCATTTGGGCTCAGTCTTTTTTTAAAAGCAGTAATAAAATGCATAATGTTTCAGATAAACTCAAGAAAAAAAATTCTATTTTTTTTTTTTTTAAACAGGGGAAAAAGGTAACAGATTCCTTGAGATAACTGTTTAAAATGTTCTTTAAGAATGAAAATAAGGCAATGGAACGTTCTGTGCAAAGGAAAGTTGTATATCAGATTCCACTTAAGTAGGAAATTCATTTAAATGAACGTACATAATCTTAGTGATAAGAGATTCTAGAAGTTCTTTAGAGGGAGGAATTGGGGGGGGAGGTGTTAACATGCACATTTTGAAGGGAGGGCAGCTTGTAGTCATGTTTATATAATACTTTAATATTGATGGTGGTGGTGTGCCGTGGACTCAGGTTCCGACTCACAGTGACCCTTTACAGGGTTTCTGAGGCTGTAAATTTTTACCGGAGCAGAAAGCCTCATCTTTCTCCTGCTGAACAGCTGGTGGTTTCGAACCACTGATCAAGTGATTTGTAACCTGACTCATAACCACTGTGTTACCAGAGCTCCTTAGTACTTTATATTACATGTGCAATTAAACAATTATCTTTATTAAAAAACAAAACCAAAAAACCAAAGATGGATGAAGTTAATGGAACTTAACTTCATTAAGTTACTTGGGGAGACAAGTAAGGGGCAAATACCCTCTGAAAGCCACCTCTAGGAACTTAGCTATCCTTGTATGTAGTGTTATCCCTACAACTGTGTTGTCTGCAATTTAACGTTCACTCTTTCTAAAATGAGTTCGAAACTCGGGAGCCCTGTAGGTTTTGGTATATTTACTTGTATCTAAATTATTGGATAAAGATGTATTAAAAGTGATTTATGTGGTGATGATTGGACACTGTGATGAGTTCATGGCAATAAATTGTCCATGTGGAGAATGATGATGTGGAAAATGTTTTTTCAAAACTAGGTTTCTGACCAAAAAAAACAAAAACAAAAACAGCTACACAAAATACAGATGTCTGGCACTGCCCACACCCACCCAGGTATTACCTGAGGAGATTAAACTGCCGTTGCTTGCCATGATGAACTGACTTTTCCCCTCCATTGTTACCAGCTTGGAGACCCTTGGTGTTCCTGTCTCTGTTAAATCCATTGCAATATCGTCTAAACTCCTGGCTGAGGGAATTTTTGCCTAAAAGGTGCACAATATAGAAACAAAATTAACTCAATTCGACATATCTCAAATTAGTAAAACACCACAGCTATTGCAGAATAAAAATGTTGACAAGGGTGATAACTGAGAGTCTTTAATACATTAAAATTCAGGAAAAAAGACGAAACTTAAGATTTGCAGCTCAAATATTCTTAATGACTATGCACGATTTCTCTCATGGCATGGCTCAGTCAGTAAACTTTAAAATGTCCCTAGCAAAATCGCCAGCGTACATACACATATGTTGTTGTTTTGTTAAGTGCCATCGAGTCAGTTCCGAGTGAGCTTGAACTGCCAACCTTGCAATTCAAATGGCTATTCAGTCTGGCGCATTAATTAACCCACAGCACCACACCAGGACTCCCCTACAGAACTAAATGTTGGCAAAGCTTACAACTTTAAACCAGTTCAAGTATAGCCCCTATTTCTTTCTTTGAAACTTTTAATTTTAAATTAGTGATGGTATACAGAGCAAATTATTAGTTTTACATTCAACAAATCATACACTTTGTTTCATCTCTATGATTGCCAATCCCTCTGTGTAACAACTGCTATCCCACTGCCTCCCTGTGGTTCCTAGTTTCTTTCCACCCTCCTTCCCATCCCTTCTGAACTTTGTCCTTAGGTAAATGTTCTTTTGATCTTGAATGGTGGACACTTCCATGGTGAACAGTCCTTTACTAGTGTTCTTCCCCCTTAGGCTGAAAACTGAGTCAGGAGGGGAAGTTCAGTGTCAGATCTGAAGGGTGGCCAAGGGCCATAGTCTTGGGCTCTTTCTGTCTCTTTCTGACCTTTGTCATAATTTTGAGTTTTGTTTTACATTTTATCCCACTCTATCCAGGAGGAAGATGAGGCTTTCTGCTCCCATAAAGATTTACAGCCTCGGAAACCCTGTTCAGGGTCCTAAGGGTTGGAACCGACTCCATGGTACTTAACAACAACAATAACATCCAGGAGGGTCTAATGTGATTCCTTTCAGAGTAGTGAGTGGTATTTAAAACACACACATACAAATTCAAAAACCAAAAAATCAAGTGTTTGCCATCTTTTCTGAGAACGTTTATCTTCTGAACAGAAAGTAAATGAGATGTTGTTCCTATAGTTAACACTTCTGGGCACTTACTTTGCTTTGCTTCCGGTCCAAGTAAAACTGATGTTGACTAATTGCCATTACCCAGATGGATTTGATGAGAGAAGAGTTTGCATACCACGTTTGCACAAAGAGGCCACTTTGCCCAAAAGTTCTTCTTGACACCGAAATCCTGAAAGATTCAGGAAAACACTCCAATTATTCCCCTCTGGCCCACTGCAAATAGACTAGTACCTAGGTAATACGGCTGAAACAAAGCGTCTTGTTCTTCATTGCCCTCCGGCTTCACTTAGTTTTACAAAGACAAGAGACAAGTTTCCAGTTTTCTCCTTTTATGACAAAAATCAGTCCTAAGCTAAATGATAGCCTTCTGTACGAAATGCCATATCACCATACACATGCACACATACACTCAAAATCAGGTAAGGAATTTGTCAAAATGACAGGTTGTAAACGTCAAAAGGATGCATAAATGTCACAAATTATATGGAAAAAATGTGATATTTTACAATCAAAAACAAGCAAGACCTGTGGAAGTACCATGATTTTTCAGGTGAAACAGTATTTCTGATCCAGGTAGGCTAGAATGGCTCTGACATTATCCGAGTATAGACATAGTAATACTGTCTGAAAATATGCAAGTCCACAAGTGGTTCAGAGTGTATGTGCACAGATGAAAAGGGGAGAGAGGGACAGAAAGACATCATGTGTGTGTGTTAGGGAGAACTATCGTATTTTTATTGTAATTGCTTTGTCTCATTGGGTCATCTTTCTGACATCCCTATCTCTCCTTTCTCTTAGATCCTCCAAAACTATAAATGTTCCCTTAGACCAAAACACCAATCATTCAGGACTGCAAAAGGCTTTCTCACAAGAACAGGAATCTCAATTCATGTTTATAATTTAGCAACTGTATTTTCAAAGCAGCCAACACCAGTTACTAGTCATTAGACTGATTACCGCTGAATTGATTCTGACTCATGTCAACCCCAGAGCTGTCTTCCATGGGGTTTTGAATGGCTGATTATTCAGGCATGGGTCACTATAGCTTTCTTCTGAGGTGCCACTGGGTGAACTTGAACTATCAATATTTTGGCTAGCAGCTGGATGAGTTAAATATTTACATCACCAAGTGACTCCTTAAAATGATCAGGACTACCAGACTTGAAATGAGCAAAAGATCTGAATAGACATTTCCCTCAAGAGGATAAACAAAAGGTCAATTAAGCACATGAAAATACGCTCAGCACCATCAGTCATGATGAAAATGCAAATAAAAATCACTTGAATGCACTGAACAACAATACATCTATT